GTTTGATCCCCGGCATGCCATGCCAGCCCCACCACCGGGGCACGCTGAGACTGGGTGTGGTAATGCATTCCTGTAATCCCAGCGCTTGGGAGGCTGAAAACAAGAGAATCACTGTGAGTCCGATCTGTGTAGTGAGACCCTGTAGACCCTGTAGTAAATACAACAACAACAAAAATCATATTATGTACAGATGTTGGATTCAGTCTTCACTGAAATGAAATCCTTTTAAATCTTGCAGAATCTTATGAAAGAGAGGAAAGAACAAAGGACTTTACATCAGTACTTAGAGCTTTGTGATTTTAGGCAGAACATCGTTTTTAATTCTAAAATTCTTTGGTGGGAGGATTAAACCCAGTAGCTTGCTGCATGGCACTCAGAAAATGTCATGTTCCCTTGGCATTCCTGTAGGGTTCTGCCTTCCAACAATGTTAGTTCAGAGAACAGCAGTTATTAAGACTTTTAGATATGAGGAGTAAAAAACAAATCTTTATTTTAAAATTATTTTTGTAGTTTGATTCTACTAATCAGTACTATTTGGATTGCAATATAGTAGACTACTGTTCATTTTCATTTTCCCATTGATAAAAGACTCAGGTATATGGTGGGGGACTTTTACACAAAACTTTTTATTGACAAGCGTGAACTAATGGGTCTGTTTAAAAAACTACTCTGTTTTCCAAAGGTCCCTGATACTTTACATTTTTAACAGCATATGTACATTCACATTGTTTTATATCCTTGGTGTAGTATCTGATCTTTTTCATCATGGCCATTCTAGTGTGTTTCAAATGTTGATTTTAATTTAGATTTCTCTAATGGCCAATGCTAGTGAGCATATTTGAATGTACTTATTGTCATTTGTATATGTCATCTTTGGTAAGATGTCTATTTAAATCTTCTGCCCATTTTTTAAATAAGTTGTCCATCTTCTCTAAATTGTAAGAGGGCTTATGTGTTCTGGATAGAAGTCTGTTTTCAAATACATGATTTCTAATTCTTTTCTTACAGAATGTAGCTTTTCTGTTTTTTAAAATTTACGTTTCTTGGTACAGTTTATGTATATATAATGATCACATTCATCATAGGGAATTTGGACCTGTACATACCTTTTTTTTTTTTTTTTTTTTTCAGAACCAGGGATTGAACTCAGGCCCTGCGCTTGCCAGGGAAGCGCTTATTCCATTAAGCCATCTCCTTGGCCCTTTTTTGTCTTTTTGAGACAGGACTTTGCTGTGCAGGTCAGGGTGGCCTTCAGCTTATTTTGTAGCTCAGGCTGGTCTCGAAACTGTCCTCCTGCCTCAGCTTGGCAAGTGCTGGGCTTATAGGCATGGACCACCACAACAAGCTCTTGATTCTTTGTTTTCTTCCCATTTCCTTCCCCTCCTTCAATCCTTCCTCCTCTTCTCACTTACAAAAGCTTTGTTTCCTTTCTTTTTTTTTTTTTCCTTTTCCCTTCTGTTCCCACTCCCCTTCCCTGGTTCTCCTTTCTATTTGAATGTTTTCTTTCTTTTCACAATATCTATTACACGTTTTGGTCCTTATTTACACTTCTGGTTTCTCACACCAGAGAAACAATGTGGTATTTATTTAAAACAAATTTATTGATACATTTTAGGTGTACATAATGATCACATGCATTATAGGGAATTTTACCTATATATGATATAACTTGACTCTTTTTCCCCTCCCCCACCCTCATTTACAAAACCTTTGTTTCCATTTTTCCTTCACTTTTTTCCCTTCCATTTCCCCTCCTCTCTCCCTAATTCACCTTTCCATTTGAATATTTTCTTTCCATTTTACCATATCTATTATACATCTTGGTCCTTATTTGCACTTTTAGTTTCTCATACCATAGAAATACTGCAATATTTACACGTGTGTGATTTATTTCACTTAAGGGTATGGTCTCAAGGTGCATCTGTTTATCTAGAAATGTTTCGAGCCTATCCTTGTTCATGGCTGAGTAGTACTCCATTGTATAAAGACTACATCTTTTTATCCATTCTTCAGTTGATGGACTTTGGGGCTGTTTCCAAGATTTAGCTGTTACAAACTGAATTGCTATAAACATATGTACACATATTGCTATAAACATATGTACACATATTGCTATAAACATATGTATGTATCTCTGTGGTATGATGTTTTTAATTCTTTTGGGAAGACACCAAGAAGGGGGCTAGCTGGGTCAAATGGAACCTCTAGTGCTAGTTTTTTGAGGAATGTCCACACTGATATCCATAGTAGTTGTACCAAGCCTACACTCCCACCAACAGTGAAAAAGGATTCCTTTTTTTCCCACAGCTCCTCCAGTATTTATTAGTGGTTAATTTCTTGATGACAGCCATTCTTTTTGGAGTAAGGTGGAATATGAGTGTTGTTTTACGTTGCATTTCTCAAACGACCAGTGATGTTGAACAATTTTTTATATTTGCCATTTCTACTTCTTCATCTGAGAGTGTCTATTCATCAGGATGCCCATTTTTTGATTGGGTCTTTACATCTGGGGAGTCTGATGTTTTAAAATTCTTTATGTATTCTAGATATTAGTCCTTTGTCTGAGGAATAGCTGGCAATTTTTTTTTCCTACTCTGTAGGTTGTCTCTTCATTCTGTTGCTGGTTTCTCTTGCTGTGCAAAAACCATTTATTTATTTATCTATTGAGTGATTGATTGACTTGATACAGGGCTCACTACGCAGCTCAGACTCCCAGTGATCCTGCGTCAGTCTCCCTCTCAGGGCTGGGATTACAGGCGTGTGCCCCAAGGATCAAGCTTGGGTCCTTGCACTTGCCAGGCAGGCACTTACACTTTGAGCTGTCTCCCGAGCCCCGCAACAGCTTTTTAAGTAAGATGAAACCCTGTTTTTATTCTTAATGGTGTCTTTTGAGAGAAGCAATTGTTACTTATCAATATATTTCTTTTAATGCATTGGCCTCCTGATGTTAGAACTTATGCCTAACTCATGGTAAAAAAAAATCTCTCTCTCTCTTTTTTTTTTTTTTAACAAGTTCTTGCTGTGCAGTTCAAGCTGGCCTTGAGCTCATTTTGTAGCCCTGGCTGGTCTCAAACTTGCAATGATCCTCCTGTGTTGGCCTCCCAAATGCTTGAATTATAGGCATGCACCATTGTGTCTGGCCATGATCTCATGTGTTTTTGTCTAAAGTGTTATTGTATTAGTATCTATATGTAGTTCTGCAATCCACCTTGAATTACTTTACATAAATGTACATACCATTTGTTGAAAAAGGCTTTTTGTGAAAGACTCCTCTTCCACTCTTGTATTGATGCTTTTATAAAAAACCAACCATTGGTATAAAGGCATATTTCTCAGCTAATGTTTCTGTGCCACCGATGTGTATATCTGTCTTCATACTAGCACCATACTGTCTTCCTTTAGTTTGATAGTTCAGTTCAAAGATCATGAAGTGTAACCCTTCTGTGTTGTT